TATTTTTTTTTTCAAATCCCAAGGGGGGCCACCACCCACCTGGTCTCCATGTGGCTCCGTCATTGTCCTCACTTATAACATTTTGTTAGTTTTGTTAACTGACTGTTAATTTTATTAAGTAACCATTAACTGATTGTTAACTGATAAAAATCTACTTTTAACTAATAAAGTTAACAGTCAATTAACAGAACTATTTTGTTAGCTAACAAAAATTTACCTTTAGCTTTCTACTAATAGAGTTAATAATCAACTAATAGAATTAACAATCAGTTAACAAAATCAACAAAATATTATAAAGTGGGGACTATTTTCAACAATTCTAATAGATGAGGGGTTAAAAGTGTTATAGTATAAAGTGAGAGATTAAAACTTATAAATCTAAAATAAGATAGAGAGTTAAAAGTAGGTTTTGTCAAATATATTTTAAGGTGGGTTTTTTATTTCCTCACCTTCCCTTACTCAGGAGAAATTATCACCGGAACAGTCTTGTTTTTTCTAATCCCACGTCAACATATTTAAATATGGTGCTGTAAACCCTTAATTTATCAACGGATCATGCCTGGGTTTAGACAACATGAAAAATCAAAGAGAAGAAATTATTACCGGAGCACAAACTGACGGGAGGGGTAGTAAGGCCGCAAACAGAAGGAAGCTTGAGAGCTCTACTCGTATCAATACTGATCCCGAAGCTCGCCATTTTGTTCTTATCAAGGAAATAACACAAACAAACAGGGGAGTTTTCCAACAGCCCCGCTAGCTCCGGGCAGCAAGCCTTGTCCGGCTTCGTAGTAGTGCTTCCATTTGTCACGTACGACAGGCAGTCCGACGTGTTCAGCAAGTAAGTGGTGCAGTCCGAACCCGGTGCCGCCGCAGCAGACGGTCCAGAAACAGATGCGGCAGACTCAAGCGCCGGTGCCCGCCCCCATGCTAAGGCGAACATGGCGGCGATAAGGACAATGGTGACGGCTTTGCTGGTTGCCATTCTTTGTGGGGGAAAGGAAAGCCACAAGGAGCAATGAAAGTGTGAGAGAAAAAGTAGGTGAGTGAATTCAAAGGGTTTTTCTAATTTATGAGTCATAGTATAAGTTAAGAATATTTTTTGTTATAAATTTTCATAAAAAGCTATAAAAATTAATATTAATTTTTGTATTAATATCAAATAGAGGAATTTAATTATATAGTTAATAAATTAAATTTTTTTAATATAAATTAATAATAAAAAAATATATTTAATATACTTTTAATTTATACTTTTAAAACATAATATTAGCCAAACCCTTCATAACGTGGAAAAAGGAGAGGGAAGCCTAATGTTGATTGTGCCAACCAGACACAATAAATAGGGAGCGTAACTGCCACCTAATTTGCGTACAGGTACGGTAGTATTATAGTTTTTTTATTTGATCCCTGTTTTTCTTTTAGGTAAAAGAATGGTCAAAATCTTAATCAGTTCAGTAAAAATTTCTTTCTAGTTAAAATAGAATGTATTATGTTCGAATAATATAATATATAAGTGAATTAAGTTAATTAATTAATTAGGTACAAGAGAGTGATTATATATCTTTCTCTACAACTACATATAATAAATACAAATGTACAATAATCTTAAACACGGCCTTATTATCTTAATAACTATGCTAGAACAATAGAATTACCACAATCACATTTACAATGATCCCGAACATAGCCTTTGTATCTTTCTCATTCTGGACAAAGGCCGAAAGCAAAAGGAGATTAGGAGAATAAATTCTCATCACCCCTATATTCATGCTAGGAGATGTGAATAGGCCAACAGATTTCTTTTAGTGCCTGTTTGATTACCCTCTCATGCTAGAATGTTTTGCAAGATAGATTATTTTTTTGGATAAATTATGTTATCAAGGGAAAATTATACAACTTTTTTTTGTGTTTGTTTGTTCTTCTGGCAAAAATTTTTCTTGAGCATATATTTTGAACATAATTGATTATGATATTTAAAGTAATTATTATATAGTCAATTATACAAAAGAAAATATAGCTAGTAAAA